ATGCATTACGAATTAATACGGTAACTATCATTCTCTTCGTGATCTATTTCAAATATCCATCTGCCCTTTTTATACAGTCGCTTACCACATTAAAACTCACATTCATTTTGATCAGATCTGAACTTTGGGAGGAAATCGATGAATTAATTCAACGTAACGTGGAATTTGCGAAACATGAACTGTTGATATCGACGATGTACTGATCGCTAGTAGAGAATGATTGGATAATTTTCTTTTTCGAGTATCATCGTGACAAAATATAAATAGAACGATTTGATTTTATATGTGATTTGTTTTGTAATGATATAAGTGAGATTGACATTTTCTTGATATGTACCACTCTTTAGGTGAAGTATATTTTTGTGATAGTTGATTGGAGATCATAGTGTACTGCAGAATTATATATGATCGCATCTCGTTGTTTAGAATAGCATGTATTTTATGAAAAGTGAATTAATATTCTATTTTTTTTAACTGAATTAATTAACTGTGATCAGAAAGTGTTTCTAACAAGAAACAAACCGACAAAAAAAAGGGCTGTTGAATATATAATATTTTAAAATAAAATTTGAAGATTTAAAGGATGATTCTGCGTTGAGATGGGAATATCTAAGTATGTATGAATGAATTGAGAAATAGAGAGCTATTGGCCAGACATGTAAAAGATCGCCTTAATATTATTCGCCATGAATACGAGCTTGAAACAATCGATCATTAGCTAGCGTTTACTTTGAAGTTGATGAACATAGTTGATAACTGAGAACCTGTGAGTTCAGGTAGAATTTCTTCCGGCCACAATTAGATTATACCCTGTTATCGCAATAGAGTGAAAAGAGTCGCATGCGCTTTACACAATGTTATGTTTACTAGGATACTCGCAAAAAGGATTTCGAGTGTCAGTTAATCATACGACAAATTTCATTTCATTCTGATAGAAATACAAGTGCATGTGCGTGTGTCTCTAATTCTTTTACATCCACACCTATACCCTCAAGAACAAGCTCGAAGCTAATCTGCGAAGATGGGTGTAGGTATTTTGTTCATTGCACATCTACTAGTGCACATCCCCGGAATTTTACAAGGAATTTATAAGTTAATCGAGAAAAATATATGATTGGTGACAAATTGATCGATTTATTGAAATAATAGCATTTAACTTGATATGAAAATCAACATGATTATTTTTTATTGTTAGTGTGTATAGTTTCATTGCGCATTTCAATATCTTGAGTTAATTTGTTCAATTTTTTTCTTCTATAAAGGTAAACGGCGACTAAACATAGCACAATAACAACTATCGAGGGAATTACCGTCGCCAAGATTATTTTCGTTTGCGGATTTCCATTTGGTCTTTCTGCTGAAACATGAGTGCTTGTGATAATGCTTTGTTCAGTAGTCGACATAAAAGTATTTGAAGATGTCAATGTCATTGTTATTTCGGAGCTAGTTGTTTGCGTCGTAGTGCTAAGAGAAGATAATGATGTCCATTCTGTGGATGGCAAAGTAGTTGTATTATTTAAAAATGATTCACAAAATAAATCTATACTTGTACATTGTCTACTTAATTCATCTACGATTGATTGATTGTAAAGACAATAGGGACGATGTTCTGTATCATAGGAATATATAAAACAATTACATGGATGCTCAATATCCACCATTAAAATTGTCATATTTAAAATATCAACAATTGATCTGGTTAAACAATAGTCATCATCAGTTAATCGAATATTGTATAGAAATATGCGAGGTCCTGGAGGATGATGCCAATGAATAATCGAATCTTCATTATGCACATCAGTTTTTCGATAAAGCCAACTTTTTTCTGTCAGAGTGAGCCCAAAAAGATCCAAATAAAATAATGTTCTAAGTTTTATAAGAATAAACCAATTGATTTCAATTGAATTTGTAGAATTCGCAAGTACTAGATTTGAAAGTGTGTGTGAGATAGGATAGAGAAACGAGCTTGTTTCATTATTGAGTGGTGATGTATCAGATGATACTGAATCATTTGTTTCAAGCGATGAAAGTCGATTTCCAGCCAAATTTAAACTGCTAATTACCGTTTCAGCGAATGCCATTGTATTAATATACTCAATTTGATTGTAACTTAAATCAACTAATTTAACTTTATGTCCTTTTTGAAATATATATTCATTTAATGTCTTTATTTGATTGCAACATACTATTACGTTTTCTAATTCAATCATGTGTTTCACTGGATTTATGTCATGTAGAAAATTATTTGATAGAACTAGTTCAGTTAGTGATTCATCTAATGGATGTAAAAACGATCTTGTATGATTGTCACTTGTTATAGTTTCGAGTGATGTTAAACGATTATTATGTAAACGTAAGTCAATCAACTCTAATCCAACAAATGAATCGGGTTCAATGTTTCTTATTTGATTATAAGACAAGTCCAATCGCGATAAACTAGCCATGTTGTTGAATATATTTACTGTAACTTCTTCAATAAAATTATCCTTCAAATCAATTTTTGTAAGCTGTTGAAATTTTTTCAATGAGGGTATTGCAATTAAATGATTCGATGTTAGATCCAAACTAGTGAGACTTGTCGCAAGACTTTCGATAAGAAGACTGGCATTTGTCAACGAACAATTGTTCACTACTATCTCGAGAAGTTCAATTGTAGACGATCCATTAGAAATAAATTCCATATCACCACAATTTTTTATGTTCATCGAATAGAATCGAGTGCCGTCCATCGATTTTAAATTGAATTCATACGGAAGATTATGTATATGACTATACTGTATACTATCGATATTTATTTTGTAATATTTTCCTTGAGCAAATGCATAATCAGCAAGTTTGAAATTTTGTGGATCAGTAAATGTTATTTCGATTGTTGTTGAATCAGTATACTCATTGAACGATTGAAAAGCATTCTCGCCTATTTCGTCTATACCATTATTGAATGTTAATTGAATCGATTGACCATGCAATTGAAATGTCGATGAGAAATTTGTAAAAGTTAAATGTGTTAAACGAGTCAAATTAAAAAATGTAAAATAATTTTGATGATAATTTGTTGTAACAAACGATGCCCAATCTACAAAACTGTCATTTGTTGAATCTTTTCCAACGCAAGTAACAAATTGCGAGTTGTCTTGACAAGAACAAGTTAAAACTGAATTGTCCAAACAAACATTTTCTAATTTCACCCAATTGATAATTGAGATCAATTGAATAATACAGAAAATAAAATTCAATGTAGTCATTTCTACAAGAGTCTCTTTTTAATAAAAACAAACCTTCACGATTGTAATGCAAAAATGATTGTTATCTCTCTATGACCAACATCAAATTTGCTTGCAGTCACAAAGATAAGTCATTTACACAGGTAGATAATATTCATTGCAAGGACGTAAATGCTGCACTAGATTTTGCTCAAAGATTCTGAAATCATAAGAGTATTCTGTTTCACCCATTGACAGAAACAACATGTAGGAAAAGATTGTTTTACTCTCTAACGGTTTCTAATGGATCTAAATGAATCTTTTGTTTTAAGTTTTTCTTACTATAAATAGTCTTACATAACAAATTCTAGTCCTTACGAGGGAACCATTTGAGGTAATACCTTTCGTTTGAGCTCATAATGCAGATAAAAACCTAAAAGAATTCGTCCTTAAACTCAATTATTATTGAGATATTGTATTTTAAAGATTTAATTACAAAACAAACAATAAGCACATACGAACATAAAAATTGTTGACTTCTATTTTGTTTCGATGATTTCCTCAACATCATCATTTAGTATAAGTGTAAGCTCAGTTAGTTCAACAAGTGAATCAACATTATCAACATGTTTACTAAAATTTTGTATAGGACTCATGAGCACGGTCAAAGCCATATGCCAATATATGATATTATGAAAATGTTTAACACCTTCATACCAACCATATCTATAATTAAGATATTTCCATGTAACTTCTGCATATTTATTTTGAATATGAAATATTGTAGAAGAATTTGTTAAACCTATTGAAATATCTTGAGAATATAAATAAGTTGTATTTGATAAAGAAAATAATGAAAGTGCTAATTTGAATATTACGATATCTGGATTAATAAATTTCATTGTCCATAGAGTAAGAGAGATTCCACGATTATTGTCAAACATTGCTGCTATAATATTCAAAAACGAATTCAGACTAAGTAAACCAAAATGATGTGAAATGAATGTAGAAGCCATGCAAGATATATTATCTGCAGCATTGCGAAGTACAATGGAACGATCATTAAATGATAATTTACAAATATCATCATTCAAACGAAGATATTTTCCTGTTACCTCATAAAAAGATAATAGATAATTTTCTACAAGTCCTTGATATGTTACATCCATTGGCTGTAAAGAATTATGTGTATCTACTAAAGATTTGCCAAGTAATGAAAGTTGAGATTCATCAAAACTATTATATAAATTTGAGAGAAGTGTCCATTGACTACTAGTTAATAATGAATGATCTGGTTTTAAAGAATTTGATATTGATAACTAACAAAAATAAATAAGAAAAATATTTCATACATTTTTATCATCTTACTTTTTCTGATTGATATCGTGATTCTACTCTAACTAATGATTTAGTCGATCTTGATGCTCGAAATTTGTCAGTAGTCATTCCATATTGAAAACATTTTCTAAGGCGACATGATGCACACATATGATGATGATGATTATCTCGTTTTATTTCACAATAGCCATCAAAATTACATTTAAATGTTTTCTAAATCAAACAAATAATTTTTACTTAAAAAAAAGATAACTAAAACTAACTTGTTCAATATTAGCATTTCGTTTAAAAAACATTTTACATGAATTACATGAAACAGCGCCAAAATTTGCATATTGAGCAGGAGCGCTACATATTCGACATTCAGATAAATTTTGTTTTTTTGTTAATAGAAGATTTAACGTTGTATTTGTAGTTAACATTTTTATTTGTATTCTAAGAAGATGATATAATATTAAATTGAATAAGTTTAGATTGGTATATAATAGCCAGGAAAAAACACAACCTATTCTTATAGAAAAAAGAAAATGTTATTGATGCAACGTGCTAATACCCTTACGTTCTACACAGAATGAGAAAATATCTGTTTCAGTCTATGGTTTATTCTCTGCATCTTTGTGTTCTTCTCTTGCAGTAAAGATAAAATTAGCGTTTTTGACTTTCTTCATTTATTTTCTCGTCGTTTACTCTTTAGTTTTGCATTTTACACATCGGAAATGTTTCCTTATTATCAGTAGACAACGCTCTGCATGAATTAATCTGGCTGACTCTATAAAGTCATTTTTTATATGAATTTATTAAAGAGAGTAATGGAAAAAAAATATAATTAAAATATTGTAAGTGACTATAAAACTTAATCTTCAAAGTTCCTATTATAAATCTTAACAATATATTTATAAATAATATTCTTTTATAATTATAAGTGACACTTATGGAATTAGAAAATTACAACAGATTCATTTATCAGTGTTCAATAAATAATTATTCATATATCGAATATTTCGCCATTATTAAACCGAGTGAATAGTGAAAGTTCGTTTTATAGTGCAAATATTTGCAAAGAACTCTATTCATCAAATAAATGATATTTTCTATTAAATAAAACTATAACTAAGAATTTTTAACATTTAAATATATAAGCATGTTTAGTATCAACTCAGAAATTAACTAAACTTAAATTTACGTATTGTTTTGTAGAAATAAATCAATAAAATGCGCTGTTTCATATTTTCGATTATGTGAATTATAGGAAGAGATAAGCACATGAAGTATTTGTTGGTTGTTTTACAAAAGAAAAGGTAAAATTTAAGAACACACTTTAGTCAAGATAAGATAAGACACTGATTCTTCTTTAGCACACAAAAATACGTTTTTTGCAGTGTAGATATTCATATATTAGAATCGCTTGTTTTATTTCAGACAAAATGAAAACAATGATTGTTATCCTGATGCTTGTCAGTACATTATTCGTGTGCAACACAAGCTCCCTAGACTGTTCCTATTATATAAAACAAGCGTGCTGGTATGGTAATACAAAATCCAAAGCCAATCAAGAGAAATGTGAAAATGATGCATTACCATTGTGCCAAAAAGACATGGTATGCGAAGCATGTAAAACAGCATGTAAAGAAGGTGATACTGAAGCTGGATGTTTTTCTTTATATTGTATAGATTGTTTCCTATGTCCATGAAAAAATAAATACAATGTATAAGATAGCAATTTCTTATACTCTGATTTTTTTTCAATCCGATTCATTTTTTCATAGAGGATGATTGTGAGTGTTCATGGGTAATTATGTTTTTGGTCGACAAGACACTCTGACAGAACGATCAAAAATATCACGTTGATTTTTATAGAAAATTTTCTTTAAATAACTTAAATATCACACAATATATTTAATCCAAGAAACAACTAAGTACATAGAAATGAACTACTTTTTCTGGCAATCATACATTGTCTGTTTGATCGAAGGGTAATCGAGGTTGGGGAACTCAAATCTGAAGTCAGTTTTCGAAATTGTTTGAATAAGTAGTGTTATTAATAATAATTATTGCCAAAAACGTTTGACTGAATCAGTGAATTCTTTTTTATACATATTTGATGGTAAAACAAATACAATAAAAGTCATCATCGGTGGAATTAATGAAATAAAATAAATAATTAAATAAAGCCAAGAATCACGAGCTAATTTAATACAACCCGATAAACATGATAGAATTAAACGAGGAAGAGCTAATATAATAAGAATACATGGTGAAATAAGTAAATGTTTATGATGTTGAAATTGTTCGCGTAAAATTTGTCTATATAATAATTTTTTTTGAGCTTTCGAACGAGTACGAGTAGCATAAATAATAATAATTAATGCTGAAATACAATTAATTAAAGGTGGAATAGAAAAATGAAATACATTAAGTATCCAATCATATATTTGCAAAGACGATGGATATTTAATAACACACCATGTCCGTTGTTCTTCTTCATCATCAATAAGATGCCGATGTATTGGATCATGTATATAAGTTAAAAAAGTTAGAATACAAACAAATAATATAACTTGTTTAGCTATTCGTTTACTTTGATTTTTATTAAAATTAGCTCCCTTTAAAATAGTTACAGCTCGTTCAATAGCTACACAAGCACTAAGCCAATCACTTATACTTAGTAGACTTCGAAGAAGAAAATCCGTAATCACACATTGTATATGTATAAAAAGACGATTATTTAATAAATGCATTTGAGATAAAACTAATATTGTTAATTTAATAATAAATATAGTTATTATAATTAATGATATAATGGATGTTACAAATAAATAAATTCCGCAACCTACATTTCGTGTTTCTCCTTTAATAAAAGTTAAATAGGAGAAAACATTATTAATAATACCGGTAAATAAAATAATTGTCGCTAATATAATAGCAAATTTAACAATAATTGGTTGTTGATTAATGTTAACATGTTGATGAATTCGATAACCTAATATAAAATCTAATGATAAAATTAATTGTTGTGTAGAAAATTGACATCGAGATCCATAATAACATTCTGGACATGAACAAAATGCTGATGTTGGACATGTTTGTTTATCTTGAAAACATTTACCATCATTTTCACATAAATTGTATCCTCGACAATCATATGTTACATTATGATCAAATTCAAAACAATTTGTTTGTCGTGCTAGATCACATAAACAAATATGATTTGAATCATAAAAACATATTAAATTAATTTGTTCTTGACATGGTATATGATAATATTTAATACGTTTTAATAAATGTTGATTAATAAACGTTTTATTAAATAATTCATCAAGTGATAAACATCGATATAATGGATTTATTTCAGTTAATATATTAGCAGATGTAATTGTTTGTTCTTGTAAAATAATTAAATAATAATTTTTAAACATTTCAGCAAAGACTATATTAAATATATTTGATGTAGAGAATATTAAAGAATTTTGATCAAATGAAATTTTTTTCATTATACTCATTCGTGTATGTTCTGTATTATTATTTATTGTTATAAAATGTATAAATAATGATGTTGGAATAATTAATGAATGATGAAATGTTATTTCAATTCGATTTTGTATTTGTTCTTGTTCACAAAATTCTCCAAAATATCCTTGTTTACATATACATATTTGAGTTTTTACACGTTCTGATATATATCGTTTATCACTCGAAATACAGCGTCCATCATTCATACATATATTTGAATGACAAATAGATTGTTTAAAATAACATCGTTTACCATATTGATCAATAGGACATACACAAATATTATGTGCAAAACATAAGGAATTCAATGCACATGTACAAGTATATTTTATATTACATTCAATAACAGACCAACCAGGTTTACATCGACAAAATGTTAAATTTTTATTGTTAATATAATGATAGCATTTCCCATGAAGACATGGCAATGAACATTTTTCATTTGGTTGAATATCATTAAAAGGAACAGTAAGTAAAATCGCTAGTCGATATACAGGTAGAAAGAGAAATTGAATAGGAAAGATCCAAGTAGCTCGATAATTTAATGTTAATTTATTGAATGCATTTATTTGTACAGCATAATTTTTTGAAAGATTTTTTGTTTGATTTAAATAGAGTAAATAGATATTAAATTTAATATTACAATCTCGAACTGAAAGATATTCAATATAATCATATGATTGAATAATTCCATCATTATCAATTAATGTTATTATAAAAATTAAAAGATTTTGCCAATCTGATGTCATTCTTATTGCAAGTGTAAGACTTACTCGTTCATTTTGATATTGACATTTATCTCCATAATAACTCAGTGAGCAAAGACAGGATAATTTTGATGTGGTAGAATTTAATCGAATTTTTATACGTAAACCCCGATTACATCTCCAATCTAATTCTATAAATGGAGTGTCAATTGGTAAAATTTTCGATTGAATTAATGATCTTTTTGTAACAGTATTGCTTATTTGTTGAAATGAATAAGTTGGCATATTTTTTAATGTAAAATAGACTTGACGTGGTAGGATAGTTGATTTAAAAAAATTACAAAAGTAATTTTCAATATCTGTTCTATTCGATGCTTCAATTGCATCACATAATGAAGACGTCGAATATCTATAATTCTCACATAATATTTCATCGTCACCAAATGGACAATCTTTTACATTATTACAAAGTTGATTTTGATTAACACATTTTGTATCATTCCAACAGCGAAAATTATACGAAGCACTATATTGTGTAGTTTTCCAACATTGATTTTCTTCATCTGGTGAACCAATACAATCAGTGATATTATTACCAACTCGATTTATTGATAAACATGATACTTTTGATGTATCATTGATATAAATACAGCTTTGTTCAAATTGAGAACACATCGATGATGGACAATTCATTTCATCAGCTCCATTTCTACATAACCTATGTCCATTACATCTACTATATGTATTATTACATGGCCAATATTGACATTCGGTTTCATCAGTTTCATTTTGTTCATCACTTAAAATCGATCTTAACTCTTTTCTTCCATCACATATTGTTGGAAAATGAATATGAGTTACAGTTTCATCAAATTCCTTTGAAAGTTCGTCCGTTCCACTAGTACAATCTGGTTTTCGATCTAGAATAGTTATTGCTGCCAAACAAATTGCTTTATCATTCATAAAACATGGAAAGCGATGATGAATATCGACAAGTGAACAACTTTCATTATACGTTTCATCATCATTAAATGGGCAATCTTGAATATGATCAACAAGTTGATGTTTTGAAATGTATTTACTTGAATTATAACATTGATACATTGTTGAACGATTACAATAAAATAATTCATTAGGTAATGTTAAACATCCACGAAATAGTTGCTGAATATCTTCTAGAAATGATTGTAATCTATAAGTTGTACGATCATTTCTTAGTTCTATTTCATAAATATAACGACAAGATATACCATTAATATATATTGTAGCTGGAAGAAAATCTTTACATAATTGTTCATTATGACAAACATATTGTGGCAAGAGAAATTCCGATGTATTAACTTCTTTATTTTGATATAATAAACGTACATGCCCAAATAAAGCTGGTTCAGAAGGAAATTGATATAGATCAGGACAATTATCTTTGATACAAGTACCATTAGCACATATTTTTTTACAACTTTTAGGATCAATTGATTCGTGTGCGAAGTAAGTTAAACAAGCTATAAAATGTGCACAAAGATTGTCAAGGAAAATACTATCACGACCATTTTGACATATTGCTGTTCGTGCTGTACATTGCCCATCACCACATGGAAAATTTTCTTCACCACCTGGTCGACATGTATGTTCTTCACATCGAAAAGCAGGATCTCGGGAACAAGGTGATGGATGTGTACGACCTGTACCTTCATCTGAACGATCTAAACAATCAGGATTGAGTATAATATCATGAAGAAATTCTGAAGAAATGCATTGACCATTATGGCATCGATATTCATTTGCAGCACATTCATTTATTTTTAATTGCCAACAATTATACTCATCAGATCCATCTGAACAATCAATTTTACCATCGCAAATTTCACGCCAGTCTAAACAGAGTGATCTATCACATTTAAGATGTATATAACATGTGACTTGTCTATTGTTATGTACTTGAATTTTCAACCCAACGTTGAGCATAATGATAGTATGCAACGGTAAATCAGAATCTATATCAAATGCAACGTTACAAAAAGGTCCAAACCATGGTGGTGTACAGTTGTATAATAATACTTCATTTTCAGATGATGTATTCATTAATAGATTATCCAAAAATATTTCATATCGCTCCGCCAAATCGAAAGTAGCTGACCAATATAGTAACATTTCGCTAGTAATGTTGTTCTTTCTTAATTCAATAAAAGTCATTTTATTATTAATCGTATCATGAAAATCAAATTCTCTTATCAGATTATTTTCAGTTGTTGATCGAATACAATATGAAATTGTCTGATGAGTAAGTATATATGGTTCGTAATATTTTACCATACTGTCAGTTACATAATATAAGAGACAATAACCATCTTGTCGATCATCAGTATTATATATATTAAACTGACCACATGAAAATATATTCATCTGCCAGATAATAATTATATATAACCACAATAACATATCTTTTATTACACTAGAATATTTACTAATGCTTGCTTTTTTTTCTTCTCGTTAACATTACAAAACTTTATTCTATAGCAAATACTATTATTTATTAACAGAACATGACTTTACTCATATATAAAACTTAGATTTCAACACGTTCATTAAAAATAACAGTATATTAAATGACAAGTTACAGTTTCTAGTTTGAAGAAAAAAAGTAATCATTAATAGCATGTATCGTCAGATTGACTCATATATATAACGCGTGGTTGATCCGTAAGAAAGACGTATAAGCATTAATAATCGATAAAATGTGCAAGTTACCTATGTATTACTTATTTTTTACGCACATTTCTATTCAAGGCGAAAGTATTCGTTATTCATTCTTTGATTTAGATATAAAATACAGTATTCATATTTATTCATCAATCGATAATCTACTAAGCAAAAATGAACCACGTTACATTGACGAAACAAGTAAAAACACATGATGATCAAGGCAATGCTTCCAAATCCACCGTAACAGAAAAAAAGGAGAATCTCTCAGACATATGGAATCCGGCATTCAACGAATTTCAATTTGGAGATAGTCCAGCAGATGTCAATTCTCATCTTCCTAATCCATTTGATTCATCAAAATGGGAAGATTTACCACAAGCACACGAAAATAAAGAGGATGTTGTGAAATATTTTTGGTTGCCTCTAAGTCGATTTGGTGATAAAATTACAAAATTTATTCCACCAAATACAACTGTTAATGAGCAAAGTTATATTTGCTTTTTATTTATCCATCAAAAATTATATTTTATATCTATTCGTTTATTTCATGATGATACCCATCAAAATTATAATGACATAGTCGAAGCATATGCTAACGCAGTGAACACTCCAATAATAGAAACTGAACATGGAAAAGAATTCTTCTATACAGATGATAGCATTATATATGTTGCTCACTTTCATGACGATAAAAGTCATATTCTTATTGAAGTTCTTCAAAAAGGCCATTCTAAATCTGATGATAATACATTTCGTCAATTATCTCTTGATCGTGAACGAAAGTTATCACCCGCTCAAACATTTATACCATCACAAGCACATAAGTATGATATTATGATTTCTTATTCTCATAGAGATAAAGAACTTAGTCATCGTATTTATTATCGTTTGCTTGAAGATAAATTTCGTGTATGGATGGATGTAGAAAATATGTATGGTCCAATCGTTGAAAGAATGGCTGAATCAATTGAAAACTCAGAATTTGTCTTATTATTGATGTCTAATGCTTATAAATCATCTTCATATTGTCAACTTGAAGCAGAATATGCTTTTAAATATCAAGCTTGTTTAATACCTCTTGTTGTTAAAAATGATTTCACACAAACAGGCTGGTTAGGAATGCTGGTTGGACTTCGACATCATATTGATTTTACTAAAACAACGTTCGATGACGCATATACACAATTATGCAAGGAACTTCAACATTTTCGAACACAAGCAATCGAGAAGAGTCAACCACTGAAATCGGCTGAATGAACGATCCTTCTTTCAGAGATTTGCATAAATATGTATTTTTTCTTTTTATTCTAACTACTTAGACATGATAACGCACGTATATATATAAAAAAAACAAAAAATAGAGAAAAATTAAATAAGAAACAGTTGCTATAATAATTGAATGTGATGTTTTATAATAATATTGCAAATATTCCTGCAAATAAAAAAAATATTGTTAAATTAATTTTGTTAGAATTCGACGTTTTTGGACAATTGAGATCCGATGTCCAATCGTCACTACCAACGCATGTTGTACATTGGAAGAGTCCGAATGGATCATATTTTACTTTTATACTTTTCAATTGGTTATAAATAACTATCGAACCATAAAATTTCTGTTGCCAATTCACTTCATATGGGTTAGCTTCATTAGTGTAGCATGTTGGTTGTACACCAGCAGGTAGTATTGTATCTAACATCGCTCCTCGAAGTAACCCTTGTGTAGATAAGTTGTTTTGATTAATTTGGGATGTTGTATCTAACCAAGTTTGAGTGTAAGCCATACTAAGAAGAGCTGTACGCCAACCAGGATTGACACTGTTATTTCTGTTTGTTGTATTTGATACTTGTCCTCCAGCGACTAAACTTCCACGAAGATTTGATCCAATTGTACTCTGACCTTGTGCTTGAACAAAGGCTGCTGCAACTATTTGTGAATTATTTCGAATTATACTTTCCGGAATGAATCGTGAGCTCACTAAAAGATTGTAGCCACTTGGATTATTCGGTGCTAATAGAGCGGCAAAGTATGCATAAAACGATGGAAGAACAAAACTTTTGGTGACTGTGAAATTTAAATCACTATTATTGGCAACAAATTGATTTATTATACCATCGAGTACATTCGAATCTCCATTGGGTATATGAACTAATACACTAATTGTCAGATCGCCTATATTAAAATAGCTAGTCGCACCGGCATCGGCTAACTGTGGTATACTACCGACGAAGCTTTCCATCAATGTTGCATAGCGAGTTACATTTGTTGCATTGACTGAATATGTTGCAACAACAATAGATGGCGATGGATAAGTTCGTATAACAGCTGAAAGTACAATTGCAAAAGTACCTCCACCTCCACCACTTAATGCCCAGAATAAATCACTATTTTGACATGCATTTACTGTTTGCCGTTGTCCATCTGCAGTTACAACATCGTATTCAAGTACTTGATCAGCAGCCAGACCTTTCCAACGTGATAGTGGGCTATGTCCACCACCTTGAAGGTAACCACCAACTACAGTTACGGTACCTGCTGCTGGACCAATTGCTACTAAATTGGATTGACTTAACCATTGATAGACGTCACTCCATTGAGCACCTGCTTCGATACGAACAGCATTTGATACATTGGCAAGACCACAGGATGAGTATTGATCAATCATTGTCATGTTTTTCATATGATGAAGCCATAAAAGTAGAGATCCAGCTGCTGTCGATCGACCTAAAAAATCATGTCCGCTACTTTTAATAGCTAAGCGAAGATTATTCGTTGCAGCGAATCGAACAGTTGTTTGAACATGTGCGGCCGATATTGCATCAACACCCAGAACTGATACAGAACCTTGATTACATGTTGAGCTGTTGAAGAAAATTGAACAGGAACTATTTTCCCAATTAGTAATTTGCATTGCACCAATTTGATCACTACGCCATGTTGCATTTGTCCATTGTGCATTGGCTACACTACAAGCTGCAGCATCATATGTTTTTCCATTACATACAGCAGCTGATGGTTGAGGTACGACTAGACGACCATCAATAGATGCATTGAACATTTGCCAAGCAGTTGTGTTTGGCCAACATGACAAATTACTCGGCAGACAACGACAACGCAGTTCTTCAAAAAGAATAATGCGATTTAAGTATGATAAATAAAATAGTTTTTTTTATGAGTAACATACGTGCTATTGTCAATTGTTGATTGAGAATTATTACCATGAAGTATAAGAGACCATAAAGATAGTGTATGCATATATTTGAATAAATTTCTTTTCGTAGATGCATTACTTTTACGTACGTATGTATAGATATATACCTCGAGAAAAAAAATAATTAAAATCTATATTTTAAAACGTCAATCGAATTTTCTACCACGCTCTATATATATGTATTGTCAAAGAAAACTTAGTACGATGAAGATACCCTCATTTTTAGATTCCTACAAACTCAATTTTTTGTTTCAGACGTACAAGACAATAAAGAACCTAATTTTGATGATCTTGGATAGATCAAATCTGTGAGAATCTCAGCATTGGGATACTTCGACTATACTTAGTTTTCTTTGGCAATATATAAGTATAAATGAAACTTTGTATATCGAACATAATCGGCGGCTTAACAGGCTATACGAATGTAATTACTTTTAAAAAAAAATATTTTTATAGAATGTGAAGGTGTGCATAAAGAGAATACTCATTTATACCCTTACACCTTTAGCGATATAATTTCGTTTTCGTAGAGAAATATGGTGTGTGTGACAGTGCATAATTTATAAAGAAAAAAAAAGAAAAGAAAACGGATTTTATTACCACATTCGAAATACAAGTATACAAGCAACAAGATACTCACGTGTTTCTTCTAACGAGCAGATTTTCATCAGAGATTTCGCTTGTGATGATAATAAAAACGAAACGATACTCTATTACTTTGATCACAGTACAGAACGGGAAAAAAAGTAATAGGTGAAAAATTTACCATTCATTCTTGTTCGATTTAACGAAATAGGAAAAAGTAATGAATAGGTGGCAGTCGCTTATGTACTGAATATTTCCAAAACTGTACACAAGTCATTCTTATCGGTCTCGATTGCCTTGTGAAACGTTTTTTTATAAACTTCATTAATAATGTTATAAATTTTTAGAATTAAAATTCATCGTCGTATTATCTAGCTTTTTAATATTTATTTAAATTTCATAAAATAATTCGATAATTATACTTATTCAGATATATGATTTTATTAAAAAATAAGTGAAAAAAACATATTATGAATTAAATATCCTAGCTTCGAAACAAAAATATTTAATCAGTAAAATTCACATTCTAATATATTTTGTTTTGAATGAGAAAGGATTTCGAGGTAATATAGCTTAGTGTTCTATATGAACGACTTCTGATTATCATCGTTTAAGATAAAATTCAATCTATTTGCCGAAGTAGGCTAAGACCATCGAAGTGTGTTTTTGGTAGCGATTCAGTTGGAATCTGAGATGGATTATCATATATTTTTCAAAATTTTTAGATTTTATATGAAACGCGTTTAGACGTATTTTAAGGACAAAAATATGTACATAAGTTGCGAATTATTCTTTTTCTTTCTTCAAGCATATTACACTGATCAGAAATGCAAAAAATATTTTTCTTCTCTAAAAAAAACAAAGAAATTGATTGATTAAACAATCGAATTTGCTCAACACATTTCTTCTAATGGAAACAAAAAAAGAATTGCATATAAGTTACTTAAAATTTGTTTTATAACCAATGTATAACTAGAGATGAGAAATAATCGTATGCACAATCACGAATAAATCCATCACTTCATTGATGTGTCTAAATGAGTTATTGTTTGATCACATACGAAATATAAAGTAATCTAGAGATTTTTCTCAAAACTTTTTGAATTTTTTTATATTCCTTTATTCCAATGTTACCGAAAGTATCCATAATGATTACTTCAAAAGCATTTTTGATAAACTATCTATCAAGTCCAATGTCTATTAAATAGCACATCATATTTCTTTCGGATTCATGAGTAGAACTGAGATAATATGATGAATTCGAACAACAATCATATAAATTATTTAAGTGATGCTCGCAATGTATCAATAGCTATCTGTGCAAAACTTGTAGAAAGTTTTCAGGAAAAATGAATTAAGTTTTAGTATATGGATAAGAAAGAGAATCAGTCTATATACTTTACTGTTTGTCAGAAAGTGATAGTTTGTTTTATAAATTGAACATTTGGCTCATTTTTTATTACAAAAGCTAACACGATCATTCCAGACATTATACAGTTAAATGTAGTTTCATTGTATTAGTTTAGTTTTGAGATGTTATATTTGTTGACTGACGTCAATCGTCGAAATATCTGAAGAATGTTTACGAACTTTTTTAAGCATTAAAATATGAATGTACTTTTAACGGAGTGTGCGTGGTATTATTGTCATGAATTGGATAAGTTTGTATCAATAGCTACATAAACACAGACCACTTTCTCTCCTACACACTCTCTCAAGAAAGACATCAGCCTGTGATGTTTATGAAAGAAGAAAATAAAAATAAGAGCATTGCTGTACACTTTTTTCTTTTCCTTTTCGAACAAATAATGGAGTGTGGGGGGAGAGAGAGAGAAGAAGGAGGAGGAGGAGAGACAGTCAGATGAGATATATAAAAACCATGACTGGTATTAAACAAATTCAGTTACTTCGTCTTCTAGCATCTTCATCATCAAAAAACAAAAAGTATGCAGTCAACAGTATTTTTATTTCTGGTCGCATCTGTTATTGGTACAGTTCAATCACAAACATGGGCTGGCACTTATATACCCGATTCAACTTGTAGTACATCAGCTTGCTGCTGTTTGAGTGAACAGGTAGTAGTAACATCTGCTTCGGCAAATACTTATACAGTCAACTCCGGCACAAGTGGTGTATGTGGTGGTGTTACTACATTCACAGGTACCGCTCATACAGATGGATATACAGGTTGGATGGTAGTAACCGACAATAATACACTCACACTTAGCTCCGATAGTAACACCATCAATGTAATCAGTTCTTCGAACGCAGCATGCAGTGGTCAAGGAGTCAAGAGTGGTGTTATCAAACAACATCCTAATATTATAATGTTATTTGCTATATGTTTAATCAGTATGATGATGAGTGTCTTGAAGATGTGAACTACCTATATCCTTTAAATTATCCTTTAAAAACTTATTAATCCATAGTTCTAGTGTGTGTTCCTCTGTTTTTTTAATCAGTATGATGATGAGTGTCTTAAAGATGTGAACTACCTTTGTCCTCTAAATTATCCTTTAAAAATTTAGTAAACCATTGTTCTAGTGTGTGCTCCTCTTTTTTTTGTATTACCTCATTTTTCAATAAAATATTTATTACTTTGATCCACATAAATAATATGATTGCGTAAAGAATTGAATGTTTTCAAATGATTTACGGTTCACTTGTTCGATTACGATTGAATTATGAGAAGAAGAATATTTTATGAAGTAAATAGAAATGAAAATATCCTCATTTTTCTTTCATTCAAATATTTCTATAGTAAAATGATTTTTTATTACTTCTTACATGTGTTAATTATTTCGTAATTATACTTCTTAAAATAATGATGACAAAATCAATCGTACCTTTTTAAAGTCTTCGTCTGAAAATTAAGAATGATTTCAAAGATCGTTTTCGCTTCGATTCATTTTGAAAATATCTTTGTAATAAAAAATCTCGAGATGTCCAGCCTGATTCAATCAAATGCACTAATTTCTTATTTGTCGACAAATTTATATAAAGAAAATCATGATATAGATATTTAAGATAATCAAAAATTAAAGAAATAAATATATTTGATTGAACTAAAGCAAATATCTTGTAATTTTTTTATCATAAAGATATGTATATGAAAAAATTGGTAGTTACGTATGGGCTAAATGAATCATTAGATGTTATTAAAATCATTCTGCTCACCTACTACTCTTAAATAAAACAAGATTTATTTTTTCATCTCCCACACTATCGATAGACGTATATCGCAAAAATGATAGAAACATACATTTGCTTTTTGTTTCTTAACAACTCACAATAGAAATTGTCCTTCACAGAGTATGTGATGCTATGTAAGTAGACACACAGGCATGATAATGCTTCTTTTTCTTTCTCTTAAGTATTTTGAGTGAATTCATTTCTATCGATCGAATTGTAAAATCAAAAAAAACACAGCAAACGAAGTTTAAACTCAAGCAATTTTTCGAAAAGAACATTAATTACTGATTCCATAAAATTTAACGGTGGATGTGAATATAGGTAAAACATGAATATATAATACGGGACCCTACTTGATCGTAAGGAGCATAAAATTTCGAACAAAATGAGCCATCACTGCTTTTTCTTGATCTGTATGAGGGTGTGGGTGTGAATAAAGAAAAGATCAGTCCTTACCCACACCCCTAAAGTAAGTATATATATATTGTTGAGAATAAATTTTCGAAAAGATCATTCTATCGATTAAATTCTTTGAGTTCGTTAACAATTTAGATTTGCGTTGAATTTATTTTCATAAATTTTATATGTTCAATAATAAACAAGAATATATCGAAATATTCCATTCAATTATAGAGATAAGATGAAAAGAAACTGATATGCTATAGTTCGACTGAAATGAAATATATTGAAAATTTTAGTTAATTTACGATATAATAACGTAAGCAGATATCAAATCATTTTATTCATTGAGCAACTATAAATGATAAAGTAGGTAAATATTTAATTACATTAGTAAGACAGAAATGTTCATCGCGGTGGCAGGAATAATATAGTCTATAAAACTTTTTTTATATTGGTTGGACGATGTATTAGTCATGCAAATGCGTTGAGAAAAGAAGACGCTTTTCAGTCTGAATCATCGTAAAACTATAATCTAAAAAAATACGGAGTTGTTTCATAAAAATAATAAAAACTTTCTAAAACCCAACCGCTGCCGCGCCGCCATGAATGCCTCTTTTCTGTAGATGATGACGAACGAGACGGGAGTATTACCTTTGAGATTATAATAAGAGAAAAGAGAATACTACATATATGTCATGCGAAAGGAAGAGCTTCATGATACATGACAAGGGAAAAATCCCAAGAACGACAAAAAAAAGGATGCATCACTATCTAACAAGAATACTTACAGCTGTATATAAATTTTTTTTCGTTCTGTATTATATTATAGTTGTAGTTACTCTATGTTCTGTCTAAGTGCTCGGAAGTAAACATCGTGATTCTTGTTCTTTTCTGTGTGTGAAGAGAAAAAAAATAAAAAACCAGCACGCAAATTGCAACTATATAACGTAGGTATTTTTTTCGAATACTCACGTCGTCTACATATTACGAAATATCATTAACCATTGGTATAACGTTGGTTTAAAATACACAATTTTCAAAATAGTTTATTATTACAATGTATATTAAACAATGGTTTTCTGAGTTACCATTTATTACAAAAGGACTTTTTTTTATTTATTTAATAACGGGAATTATTGCTACTTATTGGCCATCATATGACATTGATGTTTATTTTCGAAATTCAACCTCTATATATACAAGATTAATATCATATTTATATTTTGGTGATATATTATCTGTATCATATTGGTATGAATTAGTTTTATTCGTAATATATTCTAAATCATTAGAGTATGAATATATAAATTTAAATAATCAAAAAAAATATTTTATTTGTTTATTATTTGGTATTGTAATGATATTATTTCTATCTATATTAAAGCCATTACAAACATTTCTTTTATCGGAATCTTTCGTATTTTATATAATTTTTTTATATAATAATTACAAAAATCCTAATGGAACAACAGTATTTATTCCTGCTTTATTTGTTGACAATCGATATATGATTATTTTACTGATATTCGTAAATGCTATTTTTCGATCATTTTATTGGACAGAATATTTTATTGGTATTACAGCTGGTTATATATTTATGAAATTAGAACAAGCTAAAATTATTTGAAATATTAAACTATCAAAAGCTTTACTCAAATAATTTTCGATAAAGAAAACTTAATATATTACATATCTTTTAAGTTCATAAATAAATATGATCAGTTTCATTATTAATCTATTAAAAATAATTGTTTTAATGAATGAGATCGTTAGTAAAGTAAATCGGAATTTCTATTTATTTTCATAAATTGTCCATTATTTAATTTTGACTTGAGCATGGATAAGGTAAAGAAGAGCCACCCACACCCATAAGACTTCAACATTTATTTCATCTTTTACAAAATAATCTTTGCAAGGGGAAGCCCCTTTGAAAGCATTTTATTTTTCATCATTACAAACATAATATTTTCGTTGTGATGACGACAGCAAGCTTTTAATGTTAATTGTGTAAAATATTTTAAAACATAAATTCACACGATTGTCGTCTGTTTCAAAGTATTTAGGGCGGGTGTGGGTACTAGTCTTTCATTTGTTTTCTATGTTCACCCACACTAATGTCACCCTCATTTACCTTTGTGTGCAGTTTTGATGATCATCACCATTGTGATGGTTCAAGATAAAGTGAATCGGCACCCCATGTACTTTTCTTGTCTGTTGACAGTGTACTATTTGAAGAAAAGATTGTATTTCCCGAATTGTAAATAAAACATTAAATAGGATAGCTCGCTTCTTCAACCAAAATAAATTACTATATGTACCCGAGACAGGTGCAAACAATATCGATAGCGTTGTGTGTTCGTCGCTGCTTTCTCGACACTTTTTGACAATCATGCGCTTCTTAACAGGTGTGCTATTGATTTTTTCAGTCTTATGTTACCATCAAATAGCACCTACAGTATCACCAATTGTTATAAGTAAAGTGATTGAATATTCCAGGTTGAATGTCCATCATGGATTACGGTTCTTTATACAGCAGAGGTGCAGAATCTTCCAAAAAATAAAAAATTTCCCCCCCCCGGAAATTTTTTTTCTGAAAATTTCCCCAAGATGTTTTATCTTCATCGCTCACCGACTAACTTTATTTCACAAAAAAAAAATAAAAAAACATGGCAACATTTTGTTCTGTTCGTTATTATTCGTACAACATAGGAATTCTTTCTACTTGTTCTTTTCTCAGGCGGTTCAAAACAACCGAACCAGTCGAAACTAATTTGAATAGCCGGTCTGTTTTTTTGAAGAAAATCCAGTTTTTATCTTTTAATTGAAAGAAGTAGTTGTCTAGTGAGGACTTGATGAATGGATCTGCTAGATGAAGCGGTGGTGTATTCCAATGTAACATCACTTCTTCATCTAAAGATTCGTGATCCAGAACTCGATTGCTATGAATGTGTTGCTTTAAGATTGAAGCAGCACTCTGGCAGACAGCTTCGCATCTGATTTTGACAACCATCAGAGAATAGAAATGTAGAAACTGTTCGAGACCATTGGCCAGATCTTTGTTCGTGAAGAAAGATTTCATCACCTTTGTCGTTGCAATTCTATCATCTTTTGTCCAAACATTCCAATTCTCTTTGTCTTTCAATTCTTTCAAACATCGTTCCTTCCACTCTAGATATTGACCATTGAGTAAAATATTGTCGATTTTGATATGTTTGGTGTTGTTCTTGGTAAACTCAAGTAGAGTTTGAAACGATGACTGTCCATACTGAAGCGCATCCTCTTGTTCGTCTAAAACGACTTGTTGATACAGTGCTGCAACGTCAAGGCAATTTCCCATTGTTTCGAATATAGCAGGAGCTTCTTTGAATCGAGTGTCGATTGAAGTACATAATGCTTGGCAAAAATCAATTAATTTCTCACTCAAGTAGAATGTAGGATCATCTAAATCGTGTTCAACAGCTTTACGCATTATTGGTCTCCCTTGGAATTCTCCACGAAGTAGATCATTGTAGTTCAAGGATAAATGTGTTGATTTTAGTGTTATTTCGTCGGGTTCTTTATTTTCCCTCTGTAGAAATTCTCCTTCTTCTTCTTCGTCCAAAAGAATGATTTATATTCTATCGTTAATTCTGAGGAGAATAAGATTTCCTATCTTAATACTTTTCTCCAAAATTTCCCTAGCACAATAATTTTCAAAAATTTCCCCCAGTATAGCAATTTTCAAAAAATTTCCCCCCCCCCCCCGGCCGGGGGCGCAAAAGGAAGATTCTGCACCTCTGTTATACAGTGACTAGTCGATCAAAAGTTGCTTGTGTCAGTCTCGGCCTACAAAATGTCTTTTGTCAAACAATACAATATAACGGACACAGCAGAGAGTGTACCCTGATAATGGATCGAATATCATCGAATATGAATCTTCTCTCGAATCCAAATCTGCTGATCATCAATCTCAATCGCGGTAAGTTCTTATGAGAAGGAGAACAACTCAAGTAAGATAGCAAAAACATACTGTATCTCTTGAATTTTCAGTCTAATTTTAAAATACATACGAGCACTATCACACTTTCAGCATTTTTCTAGAGTCTTATACTAAAATATTGTGCTCAGATGTTGTACCTATCCTTTGAGAAAATCACAGTGATATTTAATGGTTATGAATATTTCTAGATCCTTGTACTGGACTCCAAACAATTACATTCGATGATATTCCGAATATTTCTCCTATTCAAAATGCCATTCCCAGCAGTTATGCTTGTTTTAATTGGATCAATGGATGGTATATCAATGCGAACACCAACTCCACTACTAATACTGGTTATCAAGCGGTGCTAACTAGTGGTCAATATGTGGCACTCAATCGCAATGGAACAACATTAAAGATCAACTTGAGTAATAAGTTATTCGATATCATTTCATTTTGGGCAGCATCAGCTTATACGACAGGTTTACGCATTAGTATCCAAGGATCACGAAATAATACGTTGGTCAATGCAACATCAATTACTTTGCATACAAATGCTGCTTCTTTAGTTCAGCTGAATTGGACCAATATCGATAACATCACTATCAGCTCGAGTCCATCCGGTCTTGGCAATCAATTTACTATAGACAATCTTGTTGTTATATTTTCATGATTATTTACATTCTGATTAAAGACAAAACTGAATAAAATCCTTTCTAAGAGAAAACGGTAGATTTTAGTATTCATTTATTTGAGAGCCCATTACATATGTCATTATTGATTTCCACGTTTTGCTGTATTTTCATAGATCAAGAGCTATGAAAAGCAATACTTCTTCTCTTTATTTTTCTTTACTTATCACAACACGATTTCATACATCAATTCTAGCGAGAAAAATTTGATACAAAAACACATGAAATGCTTAGTATCCTTCTGAAAATGGGTATAGAATATGAAGTACTTCATATTTTTTTGTTATCAGAACTTGTAAATAAAAATGACAGAGTGTACCGTTATATAGTGATCGATGTGACGCGTTAAGAACCTCTATGGGTTGTATATTTATTATAAAAAGAAAGCTTTAGAGTTACTTGGGGGTGTGGATGTGATGTGCGGGTGGTATTCATCTCATACCAAAGCCCACATACACTCACGAGTCAGTGATGGGAATGAAGCGGTTAAACTTATTTTCGATCTCTTCCTAGTTTGATGATCGTTTAAGACAATTCTTTTCAGTATCATCGACTTTATGCACGAAATAAATGTGCAATCTTCTTCCTTCATCTTGATTTTCAAGTCACACTCATAACAATCGTCATAAAATTGCAGTCAAGTTGGAAAAAATATATTTCTTTTTTCTTTTTCTTCCTTCAACAAACGACAAAGCAGAACACACAGAAAGAGTACTAATACGACGAACGGGCAGCAGAGAATGAAAAAAGATGATGAAATGCAAGAGAGACGACGGTGAGAATAAATGATCCATGAACAACAGAGATCGCAATCATTAAGAAACATTCAAAAAGACATTTATCGGAAGAGTTAGTATGTTATTATATTAAAATGATATACACACCATTTTCTACCCTTCTGTTGGAATATTCCAACTTTCGTTATTCACATTCTTTGTTTCTTTTTCTTTGTCTTTCTCTTTTATGTTTTTGTTCTTCATTCGAATAAGATATTACGTGACGAGAGGGTCCTCTCATACACCTGTAGACAGAAAAATTTCGTTCTTTTACTTTGCTTTTTTTACTTGTATCGACTTCCTTTGTTATGAATTAGTGATAGAGAGAAAAGAAATATGATTACACATACACATGCTTTTTTTCTTATAGAAAACAAAATAATTCATCTGTTAGTATCAATATCGTCATGAATTGGTAAGTTATTATAAACTATTTTCTAGAAAAACTAATATTATATTTTAGTGAATCTATACCATCTATTACCTCCTTTGAACATCTTTCGAATGAACTTATCTATGAAATTTTTGATTATCTGGATTTTTACGATATTCATAAAAGTTTTTTAAATCTTAATATTCGCTTTTATAATCTTATTAATTCTTCGACATTTCCTATTAAAATCAATTTTTCATCAATATCAAAATCAAATTTTCAACTTTACTATGAACATATTATTATTCCTTATCAAAATCGAATTACATTACTTCAATTATCAAATCGTTTTATTCCAGATCTTTTTTCTGTACGATTTAATAATATGATTCAACTTCAAACATTAGTTCTCAAAAATATTGAATCAGATTTTCTTGAAAACATTTTTACTGATTCATTATGTCTACCTTCACTCTCTTCATTAGTTATTAAACCGATTGGTACTCTTTCAAACACCAAAAATTTATACCGTCAAATATTTCGTTTACCTGCACTAAAATATTGTAATGTAACATTCAACGAAGCTTCTATTTTTGAACCGTTACCATTTGCAACGAATAAAGAATTCAGCCCCATCGAAATATTTCTTATCAATCATGACTGTCGTATTGATCAACTCAATGCTATTTTATCATATGTTCCTCAAATTCGTCGTATCTCATGTAATATTCTGCCGGAATTCAGATATCATCAAATATCATTACGATCATTGGAATTAAATAATTTAACACATCTTTCTCTTACAATGAACCATCTATTATTCGATCCAATTAAATTATTAATTAAAAATTTTTTTAATTATATTCAAGTGTTTCATATCATTACAAACGATTCTTTATCATATTCCGATATAAATCAATGGGAACAAATAATATTATCTTATTTACCAAATTTACATATTTTTTATGTTAAGTTATTATCTGATCAACCAAAATACCTATTTTGGTTTAATCGTCAATGGCATAATGAAGCATTGGGAACATTTTCTCGTAGTTTTTATTCAATACAATCAATTAAGTAAGATTATAAAAACCGAAAGAAATGTTTTGTTTAACTTAGAATCTTCATTCTGTTACTCTTCTTCTTTTTAGATATCATTGGTTGCAGGAAAGATTATCTTCAGCTACGAATATAAATAATCATTATTCTGTTAGTCATATCTCTATTCATAATGAGATGGAAATAAATTGTGATTTAATTTATTTTCCTAATGTTACTAAACTAACTATTTTTCCGTATTCAAATCGAACTTATCATTCGCTTTCAACTGTACTTGATCAAATCATTCCTTTGATACAACTGACGGAATTAATTATAAATTATCCGAAATTTTGTATTGGAAAATTAGTTGAATTATTATATTATTCGCCAAATATTAGAACATTATTACTTCATTCAATTTCATTTGATAAAATAAGTTCTGTATCGATACAAGAAAGTCAAACTTTCGAAATAGTATCGAAGAAGAACAGAATTACAAATATTACCATTACAGAATATGATACATTGGAAAATGTGAAATTACTCTGTAATCTTTGTTCTCAATTACAACAACTGACTATTGGTTTATCTCAATCCTTATTTCAAGATTATACATCGCTAGTAAAATTCTTATTGTTCGATCTTAACCACAATACTCGTCATTTGTCTTCTTTGTGCTTTACAAATTCAAATCCACGTGCATTTCGTAGATTCAGCTTACAGTATTTGCAAACCGATGTGTCTGTAAAATATATCGAAAGAAACGTATATTTCTGGCGATAACATTTATTCATATGAATAACTATTATTTTTAAATAAATACGAATATTTTTGTTAATTTAAATTGTAGTGAAATTGACATAAATTACTAAGATGTGAGTGTCTATTAAGAACAGAGAGACTCATCCACGCCCACACCCGTTGTTATCAGATTTTTGACTCGTTCAATAGAGTTTTTGATTTCTTGATAGAATTTAGGATCACGAGAATTTATTTCTGTATCGATGTTTATTGCTTTGTAATAATAATTGAGAGAATTATGTAAATCATTTATTTCTTCGTAAAACGAAGCCACAGTATTGCAACATTGTGCCATACTCTTCACAGCATACGAACAATATTTTTCATATATATCCAAAGCTTCTTGAGAATATTTAAGCCCATTGTTCAAATCATTCATAGACTTACATGTCGATGCTATTTGTCCTAGATATTCGATCAGCATCCTATATTTCACAGGTTTAAATTCTTTTACGATTTCTATTGCTTTTAAGGAACATTCCAATGTTTTCTCATATTCATTACCATACACTAATATAATGTCGTCGAGTAATGAACTGTGACTTTCGCGTGCCAAAATCGACGTGCTCCTTCTCATATTTTTCAAGGATTCTAAATAATACTCAAGTGATTTCTCTAAATCATCCATTTTGTAATAAGTTTTACCCACATGATGGAGACACCAAGTAATTTCATGATTATTGGGTACTAAGTATTTCTGTCGAATTCCTAATGCTTGAAGATGATATAAGAGTACTTCGTTGTATTGATGTTGATAAAAATAAATTGTCGCAATATCTACATAACTGAGAGCAATAAGAACATGATCTGGTATTTAAAAAAAATTTCTTATACATAACGCCTTCATACAAAATTTCATAGCTTTGTCGAATTTGTTTCGATAAAGACAAATTCTTCCAATACTTCTATAAAATAATGCACGCCAATGGCTATCAACATATCCGATACTATCTAGAATTTGTAGTCCACGCCATTGTAAACTCCATGCCTTGTTTAATTGTTTTATTTTAGCATAAACTGTACCTTGATTATGAAGTACAAAAGCAGCATATTTCTGTTGTGATGAATCAGAATAAAAACATAAATTGAATGCTTTTTCAAAATATTCTAATGCAGCTTCATACTCTTTCTTATCTCTTAAAATCAGTCCAATACGATGATAAATATGAGCGATATTTTCATTACCACGATTCTTAAGAAATTGTTTAAGAAATTTCAAAGATTCATCAGACTTATCCATTCTTTTCAATAAATTACAAAGCATTATTTTTGAACTTTCAAATTCCATTTCACTTTGATTCAATTCAATATATTTTCTTGCAATTTCCATTCCTTCTCCAGTTGTTTTTATCGCCAACACTAATATATTCATATTTTCTATTTCTTCTTCTTTAATCATTTCAATTTTAAATATAATTGATTTGTAAGAATAATCAAATCGATCAACAAAAATTCATCAAAAAACTTGACAAGACATGTGAGAATACCAAATACAACATTGAGCTTATTCATTCCTATGAAAATCTATCGAATGAAATATTTTCAAAGTGAAAGAGAACGTTCATGATCAATTCAAACCTCAAAAGATATATGTCAAACACATTTATATATGAATTTATATTTATCACGTCAAATTTCAGATAAATAAATTGATGAAAATAACTTTTCTTATGTAATTAGAAGGAATCCATTCAATAATGAACGAAAAAAATGCATTTGATGAATGTGATCGTTTTATCGTTAAATCTAAACTTTAACTTCGTTTAATTATGTAAAGACAAAGAAAAATATTCTCACGATGATCAGATCAGTTGTATTAACTTACATTGGTAAATTTATTTATCAAATCAAATAATTTCATATAGTTCATTATATAAGAACGAACAATCCATAATATATCGATAGAGGAGAAAGGAAAAGAAAATACCCAATTAACATATATTTGTTTTTCTTTTGACAATTTATCTCGATCGGTATGATAATAAATACAATTGAAGATTTATCAAATGATATTTTCTATGAAATATTTGAATATCTTTATTTTAATGATATTCATAAAGCATTTTCAAAACTTAATAATCGGTTTCAACAATTCACTCATTTATCATATTCAAAATATAATATTTTAATTGATTATACATCAAATGAAAAACGAACATTGAAACAATTAAAAAGAATATCTTCAATTAATAAAAATCAAATCTTTTCTCTTTCTATTTGGACATGGATAAATAATAATCAAATATTATCATCATTTAATTTCAATTCATCATATTCAAATCTTCAATATCTTATATTAAATTATCTACAAGCAAATAGTATTCCTATTATTCTTCATCAATTAATTGATTTACCTCGTTTATATTCATTAACAATTCAAACAGAAGAAAAATTAAAAACATTTGGTAAAATTTATCAATTAGTTTTTAATTTACCAAATCTAAAATATTTTCAATGTCGTGCAGAAGAATCAACAGATTCTAATATTAATAAATCTTTACCAATTGCTTTATCTCAACAAATAACATCAATTAAACAATTAATTATAAATCATCCATGTAATTTCAAACAACTTATTCATCTTTTATCTTATACACCAAAACTTCAATATTTAGAATATTTAAATTTAAATGATAATATAACAAATCTAAATATTCTTGTTTCAATTCAATTATTAAATTTAACATCTCTTTCAATTCGATCTTCTCATACGATGTTTGATACACTTGAAATTTATCTTGATCAATTTGAATTTAATTTAAAAATATTTTCAATAGATATTCATATCTATGATCAAAATTATTTAAATGCTCAACGATGGGAATTAATTCTTCAAAGAAATTTTCCACAATTAGAAGAATTTTATATGAAATATACAAATAATTTTGATGATAATCATCAACCATTATTATATACTGGTCAATCAAATGAATTTTCTTCTCTATTTTGGATTCAACGACAATGGTTATTAGATATTCAAATAGAATTTGATTGTATAACTTATTCTATTCATCCATATAAGTATAATTAATCAAAGAAAAATTTCATTTGAAAATATATTTTATTTTTAGAAAACGATGGTTTGAATACAATGAACAAGAAAGAATTGATTTATCTAAATCTAAACAACTTATTCTAAATGACGTATCTCTAGAAAGATCGTATCAAACATTAACTATTCATCATTATATAAAACAAGTTAAATCTGTTACACATATTGATCATCTTTCTATTAACACACAAATATTTGTTATTAAATTAATTGAAATTTTACAATTATTACCTGAACTTGATTCATTAAAACTTTCATCTAAGATATCATTTCAAAAACCAAGAAAAGTACATCATAATGAATTATTAAATATATTTTGTTCAATAAATCGAATTAATATAACAAAACTTTATCTTGAAAAGATTCGTCAAATGAAAGATATTTCTTTCTTTCTTACAATTTGTCCATTAATTAAACAAATTCATATTAATAATTTATATAAAATAAATATTCAATCATTTCTACGATTAATCTTAACACAAATTAAAAATCAATTAAGATTTCAAAATCTTCGATTATTATCTATTCGTTTACCGATAATTGATGATAAAATCATATTTAAATTAAAACAAATAATTCAAAATGAATATTTACTTAATGATTTCACAATAAAACGTATTGAAGAAATAGTTTTTCTAGAATGGAAATAGAAACATAAATCATTTTGAAATAAATATTATAAAACAAAAGATTATTACAACTTTTAATAATGAATAGATTTTTGAGATTTTTCTTGAACTGTACTTAAATGATGTAAAGAGATATACGAGCAGAAATCACGTAAAAGATGATTGTTTCCTCTCTTATATTTGTAGTCCTTTTATTGAATAATACTTATCTGATAAAATGTATCTTTTTTTGTCAGTATGAAACAATGACATTCTGATATTCGATTTAAATGACGTTTAAATATGTCGGATTTCAATCGATGTCATCTTTTCAATTAGATACCCTATTATTAAAAATAAGAATCGAAGGATAAAGAACAAGCAAAGTCTGTTTTTTTCTCCATTCAATGAGCAAAAAAGCATTATTACATTCGCTAGTTGATCGTAGCACATCCTTTGACAATCGAGAAAACCCATTACAATGTGACAGAGGTTTTTAAGTCGAACGGCCTAATGAATCACATTAGTTTTTGTCTGTTTTTTTTGTAATATTATCCATTATATCTAGACAACATAGGCGAGCGATTTACTTCGATATCTTAAGAAAATCATGGCTTTAAAGGTGATATATCACCAAGATTTCTATCAATTTTTCGCTGAATGTGAGAGGATTTATATTCTGTGAAATGTTAATAGTGTCATGTGAATTCTGTTTCGATTGGATACGGAAGCGACAGGGTTTGATTGGCTATCGTGATATATAGCTTCATATCGGTAAAACTTCATAATTAATTCGGAAAATTGAGGGTGTGGGTGAGACTAAATAAATGACACCCACCCTCAAGATGGTTTTTTGCAACACTATCGAATAATGATAAATAAGGAAAGTTATGATTTGATGCCTTCCTATATCTTAGTTATGAATATAAACCTATACTTAAAAGAGATCATCAAAGACAATTTTATCTTTCAGTAATGTTAATTATTGAAATTTTATTAACATTCATATGAAAGAAACAATACATCGACAATGTTCTTGAATTAATCAACTAGACAGCATTGATTTATATACTACCTTCAATCTACTAATTTCTTTTCTGTCTTCTGCCGAAGAGTCATACTCTCTTCTTCTCTCAACCAAAAATATTAGTTTCAAGCAAAGAAATGGAAATATAACCTACTTACATAGTTATATCTCATACACATTTATCATTTTTATAATTCAATCACTACAACAATTTGAAACAAAAAAACTCATGTTATCGATATTATGTTAGATTTTGATTTTAAGTATATAATAGAAAAGATTTTTCAAACGAGAATAACCTATAATCATCTCGAGAGTGTGAGTGTGAGTGTGAGTAGTGTATTGTGATCGCACACCCACACCCACATCCATACCCAAACCCATCCTTTGTTATCACAAAATAGAAAGAGAGAACGCATATTTTATAAGTTTCTTTGTATACTGTAACTTTATCTCGGACGTATATATGAAGGTTTGTTCTTATCTCGTACAAGCAGGGAAGACGTCCTTTCAAGGTGAAGAATATTATTATTATCGGTTGAAAAGAGAACAAATAGTTCTAACCAACTAAGACTATTCACTTTGACTGTCACTCTTTCAACATCGATATAATAAAAACTTCGTTCAATTTTGCCTATAATCCATGAATCAGATATCTTCTACACTTCGAAGAGAGAAACCATTAGCAATATATACATGAAAAAGGCACAATAATAACTATTTTGCGATCAACCAAAGTCGCTGCGTATGGCTCGTCTCATTCTGTTTTTCAGCCATCCTCTTGTCTTTTCGAGAGTGTGCGTGATAGTGCAAGTGTGACTCCTCTCTTCATTCTCATCCATACACATCCATTCCCACCCACATCCTCACACCACATTCACACTATATAATCAGCACTACATTACACTACGAAAACTATTTCTCATCTGATTTTAAGAACCAGTCGTGATCGAATTGGACTAGCAATTATAATCAAGTTGATGATATTAATCGATTTAAGTTGGACGACAAAAAAAGGAAGCTAAATCAGATGTGATTATGACAGTGCTGTATGCTACGTGAAATGACTTAAAAAATGTCTTTGTTAATGGTTACGTCTTGAGGGTGTGAGTAACATAAGAACTAAATACTCACACTGTTTGAGGTTAGATAAAAACGTGATATAACCAATTATATTATTCTTATATTTATATTTGAACAAACTTAATAACGAAACACTATGCTAAATCTAACATAAATATTGTTGTAGTTTTATATTACATCGAATAAATTTAACAACACATTCATAAACTTAAATGTGAAGGTTATATATCGTGATAACTAAGCAAACAAAAAAATGTCTGTGTTCTTATCGTATATCTTCACACAGTTACTTATAATAGAAAAGCTTATTTAGTAGACAGTAGTAAACGTAAAACATGCATAGTAACAATAAAAAAAAGACACCTTGACGGTAAGGTTCTTCAGTTTTAATAATAATATTCAACCTATAATTCTTAGTTACAGTTGATTAACAGTCCCTTGAATCTGTCAACAATCTAGATTATAATGCTTATATTCTCGGGACCTTTTCATACTTGCGTGTTAATGAAACCTGTTGAAACATAAAGAAAAATGGTGATATGCGCTTCATACTGTAGTACAAGTTACGGAGAAAGTAGACTACTATCTATCTCAAATTGATTGACAGACATTCAGTAAAGAGCCAAAACTTACATAAGTTTAAAGGACAAGTAGTGGTAAAGTCATTGTTTGCCGAAAATATTTTTTTGAAAAGTATTAAGTATTTAGCAAGAACTTCAAGTGGTGAGTAAAATGAAGTACTTTTTTCTATTGAGAAACAACTTTACCTGTAGAAGACTTCAGAACGATCGAACAATTCTTTTGAGTTAAACATCACTTGTTATGAGACGTGATGATAACTACTAATCGGACCTTGAAATCCGACTAGAAGTATTAACACGATGATATCTCGTAAAAAACGTATCGAACTCATGATTCTTAAGTTAACAGACCTGTTTATGGCTCACTAAGATGTCCTTAACGTGCGTGAATACGTTGAGTAAGGCCTGAAACAATGTTACGCTGATAAATCTAGAGCTAATTCAAAATCTATTTGCTGCGAAATTTTGCTTTAGATAGAAAACACTTCTAGTTTGTTACCACATCGATCGGAGAGGAGAGATAGTTCAAAGCTGAGAATCATTATAGCTTCCGTACAAAATAATCCAACATATATTCAACAATGGTGCAAACTCGACCTTCATCAGCTCACAGCAACGATAACCACAAGTCGTTTGATCATATGGGTTTAAATATCATTAGAAATTCCGCAGTATACCCGATGTCAGAAGTTACAGTAGATATACCGATACAAGAATCGTTCACTTCAATACAAGCGGCTCGCATTACATGCAATTATATGATTATGGTGGGCAGTAAAAACAGTTTAAACGATGAATCAAAGTTCAAAACACTTGATGGAACATTTGATGATGAGAGAATATCGATCAAAGAAGCCGTCTCAAGTATTATCCATGAAAATAAACCAAAAAATACGATAAATCCTTTCCCAATGAAGTTTGCTGTAGTATTTGATAATGAGATTATTGATAATCATGAATTGCCTATTAGCTCTCTTAAAAATTTATCATCATTGGTACTCTACATATTAATCATTCCAGGGAAACACTATGTTGCAGAAGAGAACGATACGTGAGTAATTATGAATGTGAGCACTATTGAAGAACATGCATCATTTTGATTATTCTAAGTAATGGAACTGATGGTCAGTTTTCTGCTTCATAAGGAATTCTCACCGCTTTGCTGATAGTTGCTCATCAGTTTGAAAATTTCCATCTCTCAGTTCTCCGACGCTAATGACTTGCTTTCAGAATGTTACTCCTTGGAAAATATTTTTACATCGTTTGTACATATATTTTAGTTTATCAGTTGCGTCCTCTGATATGACAATATCAATGCATTCACTTACCCCTTTATATCAGGTACTGCCGACGACATCCATCCAGTATTCATTTAGTGATACAGATTACATATTCGTTTATTACATCTATGATAAACAGACATCGTCGACACAATCAAAAAAATCTTCATTTCGTTTTTTCGTCTTGCAAGACATTCAGGCGAACTCACAATTACAATCAATTCGACAGAAAGTAAATCAGCAAATGAATGCTAAAAGTGACTATCATTTATGTTATAACCAGGAATATCCAATAATGGACAACAATCCAATGAAATTAAAGAAATTTCGAAATCAGCGAACGAATGCTGAAAAAGACTATCATTTATATTATAACCAGAAATGTCTGACAATGGACAACAATCCAATGACATTAAACGAGTTTCGAAATAAGCATAAAATTAGTGATAAACAAGCAATTATTTCGTTTTATTTACAAAAAGAAACACGTGGGAACACAAACGAAGCAGCTCATTTCAAAGAATTTCTGTTGTTCGTCAGACTGTCAGTACAAGATATCATATTTAATAATGCATATGCACAACAGATCCAGCGATTCTTTCTTTGGTGCGACAGAGACAAATCAACTACTTTAGAAAGAAAAGAAGTTGAGCTTGGTATTTTGACCATATTGAAATTAATGATTACTGATGAACATCACAAACCACTAACCATTTGGGATCGATCATCAAGAAAACATTTGTCGTTTACAGCCTTCGATTTACTACCGATTTGTGATCTTCCAACGCAAGAATGGAACATAAAACAGTTCAAATGCTTGCTATTAGATACTCTTGTTGAACATATTAAGTATCATTATCTACTCGAGTCATTCTCAGTAGATAAAGATAACCTGAAAGATCTTTTCAATAATATCAACCATCAATATTTAACGCCCCTCGAAACAACGATTCAAAGCAAAATGCTCATACCAAAACCGAATGAACTAAAAGTGTTTCCATGGAGACCATTATTGAGGACTATCCTATTAGTCCTATACGCCATCCTCGTTCTACCCATTCCTATTTGCCTAATATTTTGGAATAGCATTAACGTGAATGCTTCTGATCGAACGAGTACGCGACTCGGCATTGTTATTGCCAAAGTTATTGCTACTGGAATCATCACAATTCTTTCGCTCTCATCGTATATTAACTATTATAATGTAGGAGTTTATCATTATTATTCCAGCGACATGTATACTTGGAATGTCTTTTTTCTTGAAGCTTACTGGCCTTTTATACTACATATGTACATCTTGCTATTGCTTGGACTGACTCTCTTTCACCGATCTGTGTCGGAGACGGACAAAGATAAACAACTACTCGTTGAACACTGTTATGAGAATGCACGCTTTGATTTGTATCAAAAGAATGTAGAACCTATTGAAGTACCTGATCTAACCACAACACATAACGATGCTGACTGGTCATGCAAATACCATATTCTACCAAGAGCAGGCATTCTAATTTACATTGGTATACTTATTTCTCGTCTGTGTATACCTACCTTGATTCGTGGATATGATCCTCATATTCAATTCGATATTAATTCAACTTCACTGAATCACACGAACAAACCGTGGCATGTACAAAATGTTCAAGTTTTTTATTGGGCACTAGGAAGTGTGTACAATTGTGCCTTTTTTATTATGATCTTCATAGCATGGAGAGTCTACATTAAGCTTGGTATTGAGGTGAATCGTATCATGTTTACTGTAACGAATAACGACCGTTTTATCGAAAATAATTCTGGCGTCTATTATGATTTGAGAAAGCCTGCTAATCTTGACTATTTTCTTGCTCAAATTAAACAAGCAGTGGCGAACACAGATTCGCATGGCTATTATCTATTCACTATTGCCTATGCGTTTGTCATTGATATCATATATATTATCATTGCGTTGGTTCGTCTATTTTTTATAACCATATCAATCAATGACCTTACCATTTTATTGTTGGTCGACATAACAATTTTATCACTGGTTGTCATCGGATTTTTAATAATTGTTGCCTACATTAATCAAAGAATAACCACAGATACACAGCAACTGATTAAGCGAACAATAACGGAAACAACAGCGAAACTTATTGATGTTAGATCACTTAGAAAAAAGACAAATAAAGATAAGAGCGATCAAAAATCTTTAGAAAATGCAATTCAGTATCTCTCAGCAATATCTGACTTCATTGAAAATGAGAAGAAAAGTTATTGTATACGACTTTTTCACTGGTTCGTGATCGATATGAAGTTGGTGAATAATGTTATAGTATCCGTAATCGTTGGGCTTGGTTCAATTGTATTCTCATTTATCAAAAGTAAATCACTGCTAGCATGATAAACATTTCAAAATTATCAAATTTTAAACAAGAAAATCTTATTAGTTTTTGTTCTTTCTAATGTGATTATCAATAGAACTTGGAGTTAGAAATTAGTAAGGAAAAAAGATCGGTTTGGTAAATGATTTCATACTGACTGGTCTAAAGCTTTGTTTAGAGTTTTTACATGTTTTTTTTTCAAAAATATGATTATGAAAATGTTTTCTTTGAAAATCAAACACTTTATTGACGTCGAAGATTATCTCTATACTAGCATGCATCTTGAGGGTGTGTTAATAACAATGAATCTGTAACAGTGTTCTTCTTTTGCACACTCTGAAAAAAATCTAGATATTTTTCTGAATACTGATTCAGGTGAACTTTGTTTTTGCTGGCTCTACTTAATTTATATACTCACTACAAGTGATAAGCCAAGTATATAAAAGAAGGAAAAAGAGAAAATGAATGATTTAATAGCAGATCAAATGTTTTGTAAAGATCAAGTGAAAAAAACGAAAGTATCATCGTTATTCATTCGTAACAGTCCAGGATATTTGAGGCGATCGTGTCACTAAATATAATACAAATGTGAGTCAAATCTAGAGAGAAAGTGTCCCACGTGTGTGTGTTACTGTCACTAACAACGGTGGAATAAAAAAACCTTTTCGTATGGATGTGGATATGGCTAAAGAAAAGATGAATCCTCACCTACCCACTCACCTACACCCTTCCACTCTTTACCCACAGTCACCCTCAAGATGATTTTAGATATTAATTACGTATATTATCGCATCATATTCATTTTCAATATTTACAAATCTTATAATACTTTACACAATTACAAAAATAAACTCATAGCAGATGAATGAAACTTATCAGAAGATCATATCTCGTTCTTCTTTCATAAAATAAACTTTTATTTCATTAAAAATAAGTGAAACTATTCAATAATTGTTTCTGTTAGACTTTAGTTTTGCTGGTTCCAAACATAAAGATAAAGAACTATTCTTTATTTTTCTTTAATAATAAACAAACTCCTCTCCTCAAAACTTCAATTAATAACATTAGCTAAATTAATTTCATATTTAATCATTTTATTCAGTATATTTTTTACTCTGAGCAAGAAACATGCTTTTCAAAAACTAACGATTACATGAAAAACACGGACATAAAGTAATTAAAAGCGTATTAAAAACCATAATCGGATTTCTTATTTACCTTCGAAGAGTTGTGCCTAATGAATGAATTCCTATAGAGAAATTATCAAATAAACATGAATCTGTTCAAGTGATGTTTTATTTTAATTCCGTCAATCAAACAACATTATAAAACTGATGATGTTTTAAACTTCAATTAAAGAAATGTCATGATTTCAGTTGTCAGGAAAGAACAAGAGAGAAGAGTATTTGATGAGAATGAAAATCATAAACATAGAAGTTTTTTTTCTAAAACATGAATAAATTAGGTAAAATGAAAGAAATGCATTTTTGAGTCAAGAACACAAACAAGTGTTGAGAGAAACAGTTTTATGCTCTTTTAACTAAAAGAGAAATGTCGGAAGTGATGAAAAAAAAAGAGTAAAGAAAAATTACTCATTGTTGTGCATACTTGATTTTCTTTCATTGATCACACAAAAAATAATGCGGTCTATCATTATCGTGTTTTTCATTATATCTCTTTCATCTGTAACAGGTTTGTTAGATTATCTTTTCCCTTTCCACTATATTGCAATATAAATGAATTCTATAGGGCAAACTACAGAACTACCTAATTATTCTTGTAGTGAAAATAATGTTTCTATTCAGTTTACATTATCTTCATCATCTCATTCAGCTTCGAATTCAATATCGAACTGTTCTTTACAACAATGTAATACAAGTTTGAATGGTAATAATAACTGTCTTTCATCATCAACACCTTGTTATGATTATCGAACAATAAATAATATTAGTTATTGTGCACCTGCTATTTTATGTTCAATATTAGAAAAATGTGATAATATTACACAAACATGTTTATCAAATGATTCAATATGTGTTATTAATTCATGTTGTTCATCACAAGCAGTATGCTTACCATTCTTAGCAACATTCATGTGCAAAACAGGTACGAGTACATATTATAATGAATTGACAGTAAATTATTAGCGACTTCGAGATTAATCACTCATTTTCTCATTAGTTCATGTTTTATATCAGTTCTAGTGATGAATGCTATATAGTCTATTGCATACCTATCTATAGATTATTGAAAAAACAATATTATGAATAATTCATTGTTCTGATTATGATATGCAGACAACTATGAAAGAGTTGATGCAAAGCTCATACTTTTCATTCTATTGAGTATCTATGAAGCATGGCTTGCAAAACTCATAGAGAATCGAAAAACACATCAGTCAGTGTAATTATCACAGTGGTTAATTTGAGACAAACATCGTTTATATATTTGATTGAAATTAGAGAGGAAATACAAAATATAGAAAACTGAAGATACGATAATGATATGTGAAGAGATTTTGTGCAATACATTTGACTACTATTCTCGGTTTACATAAGTTTAAGGTGATATAAAACATACATATCAAAGACTGTCGTTTTTAGAATGACGAAAAATACTATGCAAGAATAATGAATGTTTAGTGTTTGATTATATAATGTTCTATAGTCTAAATATATAAAACTGTAACTTCTAGGATGGGTTTCTACGAGCAATATGAGTGATGCACGATATAGCCACACAGCATCTGTATTATATAATGGAAAAGTATTAGTTAATGGTGGATATAATCGTAACATTGGCTATTTAAATAGTGCTGAGCTGTATAATCCATCAGCAGGTACTTGGACAACTACTGGTAGCATGACTAATGCACGATATTATCATACATCATCTGTATTACCAAATGGGAAAGTACTAGTTACTGGTGGATACAATGGTAATACTAATATTTTAAATAGTGCTGAATTATATGATCCAGCAACAGGTACTTGGACGACTACTAGTAGCATGACTAATTCACGATGGTATCACACAGCATCTGTACTATCCAATGGGAAAGTATTAGTTACGGGTGGAGAAGGCGTTGGCAATATTTCTTTAAACAATGCTGAACTGTATGATCCAGCAACAGGTACTTGGACGACTACTAGTAGCATGGCTAATTCACGACAGTATCATATAGCATCTGTATTATCAAATGGGAAAGTATTAGTTACTGGCGGCTATAATACAAGTACTAGTTTAAACAGTGCTGAATTGTATGACCCATCAACAGGCACTTGGGCAATCACTAATAACATGAATAATGCACGAGAGTGGCACTCAGCATCTGTATTATCAAATGGAAAAGTATTAGTTGCTGGTGGATATAATACTAGTACTAGTTTAAATAGTGCTGAAGTGTATGATCCATCGACAAGTACTTGGACAAATACTGGTAACATGAATAGTGCACGATATATTCACACAACTTCTGTATTATCTAATGGAAAAGTACTGGTTACTGGTGGATTCATTGGTAATAGTTTAAATAGTGCTGAGCTGTATGATTCATCCACAGGCACTTGGATAACTACTGGTAATATGACTGATGGACGAGATTTTCACACAGCATCTGTATTATCGAATGGAAAACTATTAGTTACTGGTGGATGGAATGGTGCTACTGTTTTAAATAGTGTGGAATTATATTAATTATTCGAAATAAATTAACTTTCAATTGTCTTATTCTTTTTCTTACAAGTAGTTCGAATTGCAAACAAAACTTTAGTTAGAAAAAACTTCAGCTTGGGACGTTCACTAACTGTTTCCTTCGATACTTTTACTGGATTATTACACACTTTAATATTCAATCCCAAATCAATAAAATATGTTTGTTTCTCTACTCTTGTAGATTAGTTTATTAGGATTAACAAAAGTTACAATTCATAGGATAACTCTGATTACCTTTCAAATGTCTTGTTAGTTTTACAATGTCGTTTTTCATAATATTTAATTGTTTTGATAATATTCATCGGATTTAGAGTAGAGGTGCAAATGTGGGCGTGGGTTAGAGAAATAATACTATTACTAATAATAACTAATCTGATTGCATATGTGATAATTTTATCTAAAATATTTTTTATTCCGTGCAAGAATAATGTTTTTCAAAGAATAATGACATAATAGTGTTGAAAAGAGCATTTAAATAATAACTAAATCTCTTATTTGCTTTCTAAGAAATCTGCCCAATGAATGAATTCTTATAGTAAAACGATCAAGTAGATATGAATCTATTTCAGATATGCTTTCTTATATTTTCGTCAATCAAAACAAGATCACACAACTGATAATGTTTTAAACTTCATAATTGAAGAAATATTACAATTCTAGATATAATCAAAGAACAAAATAAGAGAATATTTCATAAGAATGAACATTATAGACATAGAAGAGTTTTTTTTTCTGAAACAAACGTTTACAAAATAAACATTTCAATACATGCAAATGAATAAACAATTTAGAATGAAAGAAATGCATTTTTGATTCCAAGGACATAGGCAAGTGTTAAGAGAAATCGTTTAATGTTCTTTCAACAAAAAGAGTAATTTGAGAAATAACAGAAAAAAAAGAATAAAGAAAAATTATTGTTCGTTGTGCATACTTTATTTTTTCATCCATCACACAAAAAACAATACGATATTATTGTCTTGTTTTTCATTATATCTCTTTCATCTGTAAAAGGCTTGTTAGATTATCTTTTTTTTCATTTGATTCTATCATAATATAAATGAATTTTATAGGAAAAAAAAAACACAACTACCTAATTGTTCTTGTAGTGTAAATAATGTTTCTATTCAGTTTACATCTTGAAGGTGGATGTGGATCTTCACTTAAGAAACTCACATACGCTCACCCATCGTCACTCTCTCACTCTCTCACTCTCAAACAATGAGCTGTTTTATAAATAATTTTCTTAGACAATTATTACACGCGTTTCAGATGCTCTGAGCGGTTGATTTCGATCACTTTCGCCAAAAGACGCTTGAAAAATAAACATGACTAATGTATTTATTAACTAACGAAAGCTGATGTTATTGTTGGATTGTGCAAACAAAATGTTTATTCAATCTTGAGGGTGTGGGTGTGAGTACAATATCAATATATAATACCCACACCCACTCCCAAGATGGTTTTTGAGGGTGGGATATGGTGTAGCTGTGGAAGGATGCAACTGTGCACATCAATATCCATCCACACCCACATCTTACTTTTTTTTGTATCTTGGTAGCTTGTCTCAGCCCTCTATTGGGCTTCGTTTTCTGTGAATAATCAGCAAAATAGATTCGTATGCTATAAGCGAATGAAGCTGCCGTGAGGCATCAAGCGAATATTTTTCGAAGAATGGAAGAAAAAAACAAAAATGAATCTACATCACGCAAATCACTGCAGCGTTGTTTCGAACAAGGCTTCTACTGGAAACAATTTTTCTCACCAAAACGTTTGCTTCAAAACGCCTTTGGGTGATATGACATAAACAACTTAACTATTAAAAAGATTCGCGGAATATTTCAGTTTTCAATAATAAATTACATCAAAATTTTATATAGTGACGAATATATAAAGGTCAAGTGAATCGACAAATGATTATTTTCAAAAGCAACATCACAAACATTAAGGTGACTAGACGAAATAAAAGGTGAACAGTAAAGCTCATAGATGATTTTATAATAAAATAGCTGTATAGTCTTTGTGTATTGTAATCATATAGACATACTTAGATCGACAATTAAGCACTTTACATACGACTGTATTTCAACGTGTCAGATAGCTCAGTATCAGGATCGTATATTTCCGCGAACATACACGGGAATAAACTGAAGTCCGTATACAAAAAAAGAGTTAAAATGAATAATTCAATTACTGATGAAAATAATACTTTCTATTCATTGCTTTCATTCACTTGAATGATCTAAACTAAACTAATGAAAATCGAAAAACTATTATCGGCTGTAGAATTAAGTAGGAACAGGTAGAAGACGAATATCTCGACAATTGTAATATCCAGTGATATGGGCCTTTTACTCTATGAAAGAGGCAGGCGTCGGATGTGTTTTTATACGATTATATGCAAAGTAAAACTGTTCCTAAATAAATTATCTTTATAAATCTTTGTCAGAAATATATAATAATGCAATGTAGTTTCAGTGAAATTTTGATTTTGACATGCATGTTATATGAAGTGATCTCGAATCTATAGTTTAAGACAAATTGTGAATGATTAGCGTCTCTGATCCTAATATTGAGCAAATGAACTCTGTATTTCTTTGTTAAAACAATAGGAAATAGTCTTAATTTTGAAGCAATCTCTCTTGTTTACCATCAAATGGTTTATAGTTTCGACGAAATTTCGTTAAGAACTGAGAAAAATTGGTTAAAAATCGACACAATTTGCTCTCGTGTTAGGAAGCAAATGTACGAACTCCTTTACTTAACCTTAGGCAGTGAGAAGAGAAGAGCGTGTGTATGAGTTAAAACAAAAAGTCTATTTCTTACCGTCACCTACACCTGCACTACCCAGAAGATGGTGATTGTGAAAGATTGCAATAATACGGGTGCACTTTTTAAGATAAAGAATACAACAGTTTTATACAGTTTAAGTGTTTAGAAAGGTGAAAAGAATAAAAACAAAAATTAGTTATTACTTTAGATTGAAGGTAATACTGTTTTGTTCTCACGCAGCGGATCAACGACAACTAGAAATTCAATATAAACAGTTTCCTATTATATTAAAATATTTCAATATGCCATCTTGAGGGTGTGGGTGTGGTAGTATGGATGGACAAACATCACACCCACACCCACCCTTTACGTCGACCTCCAAAGAAAAATGAGAAAGCTTCAAATTTACGATATAATAGTGTGTCAGGTGACACAGGAGGTAGTAAAGTTTATATTGTCTATGAAAATCGTGTGGTTTATCCAACTTATTTAATTACTTTTATTCCATAACTTTTAATATTAGCTTCAATCTGTCATGATTAAATTATGTTTTTCAATGAAATCAACAAGTTTTTCTCTGAATTGATCGAGTTAAATCTTACAAGTATAATTTAATGAGAAGTGCTTTAAATGAATCTCATTCATTAAAACATTCTGCTCACTTCTTCTCATTAATAAAGGCCTACTTTATTGTTTATAATGACTATTTTTATTTTTATTTTTTTTACAACACAAGAACAAAGTTGTATAATAAATGTCTACCGATCGCGCATTTGTCTATTCATAGCAGTTCGCATAGCCAACGTTTCAACACCAATACGTCTTGCTGGTCGTCGTAAATTTAGAATGTTGATAAGTTTGATTCGAAGTTCAGGTAATGATAAAGCACAAACAAAAGGAAAAAGCGGCAACATAAAATAAGAGAAAAATGCTGCATATCGATAAAAGTCATCGATCGCTTCAGACACTACATCACATAGAGAGAGAATAAGGGCTACTGTAAATGGAAACAAAAATATAAGATAGAGAAATGAAATAGATAGCAATTGGATTGTCATCTTTCGATATTTTCGCCATTGAATTGGTTGATGTACACGATGTTTTTGCCACAAAACACGTAAAAATAAAGCAAGACTAAATATAACGACTACACAAATGGGAACTATTTCATGAACTATTGAGTCGTACATAGCAAATATATATACATCATACATACATACAGTTGTACAGACCCTGTGGAAATCAAGATAGATATTTTGACAAGGTGGAAAGAAAATTGCAATGATGTAGTAGAGAAAACAGTAGAGAAGAAGGGCGATGATGGGGAGATAATGAACAAAGAATCGTTTCTTTCTAGTTGATACCCACTTATCATGAAAAATAAGAATATGTCTTTCGATAGTTGCCCAAGCAAAGAGTATTATATGTGTGGCATATAATCCCCAATCAATAAATAACCAGAATTCACAAAAAATCATTGGTCTTTCCCATATAACACCGTCCTTGTAATAGAAATATATCATCCATGGATATGTTGTCATTAGAGTGATAAGATCAATGATAAGAATAAGAATAATAATATGATTATTGAGAGCATGACGAAGAGTTCGATCAAAACGAAGATTATAAAGAACAAATAATAAACAGATAAATGATGGAATAAGCACGATAAGCAATGACCAAAACCAGACTGTGTTAGATATCATTATTCTTACGAATAAAACTGCTTTTCTTTTAGTGATGTTTGAGCGGACAAGAAATTGTGAGAATGAATATTAAGTGAAGAAATATTTTATCTCATTTTCCACTTCGTCGCAATAATAGGTTAATGCATTTTATCTGTCTTTTTGTCGGTAACTCCACAAATAGAACGAGACATTTTTCATTAAAATGAATTAAAAATGGTTAAATATAAATGTTGAAAGTAGGTTCATTATAAAGATTATGATCGAATAATTATTCTAACTGCGAAATATATAAATGTATTGAGAACATATACTCATATACAGAAGACAAAAGAAAAATCTTGTTGCTGTTTATTTTATTTTATTTGAAGTGATTTTTCGAACTAAGCACATCAGTTCATACTCTTTTTCTTTATATTAATTATTTTGTTAAATATCATGATATTTATTTAAGTTCGATCATCTACCGAACATTTTGAACTAAAAATGATTAATATATATATATTGATGCATTCTAAGCATATTTAA